CGATAATAGTTCTCGTTCAACTGACATCATTAAAAACGCCTCTAATTTTTCTTGGCCTATATTAGCTCTCAGCCTATTTTTTATAATTTTCAAATTGCTAAATGTTCTCTCGCAATTAACCTGGGTAAATGATAAAGTTAAAATGCATTCATACGCCAAAAATAAATTAGTGTATGCACTTGTATGCATATTGTACCTCTTAAGAATTTCATACACGCATATTAAACAATTGTTACATTTATCACACTTCGAGTTATTATCATATTGTAGTTTTCCATCTTCTTCATTCGACTCCTCACTTGTACATAAGATATCATCGTCCGTTTTATTTATTTCTGCTATTAAATCTTTGAAAACACTAAAATGAACACAATTCGTTATGTAATTTATCACTCAATATATTTGCCAATTGCGTCAGTTTTTGCAAGGCCATTTCAAAAATACCTTTACTATTTATGCCATCAAAATGCCTTGGATGCAAATTTCGCACATTCAAAATAAGCTCTCTATTCGCAAAAAAGCGTTCCGACAAACTGTTTATAATTTGATCAATTATAGGACGAAATACTTCAACCATATAAAGGTCAATCCATTCTTGACGACGTTCATCCTGGCCTTCATCACTATATATTCTCTTTGCTCGTCCTATTCGAATTTTTGGCAGAGCAGTCTGTACACAGATACTCTCCGGAAGCTTTAAATAAGAAAGTGTTTCATTTAAATCAGAGCCATTTTTATTGCTTTATTTTGAATTGATGTAATAGTTATCGATGACACAGAAGACTTAGCATCTTCTATCATCTTACATGCCCACAAAATATCTAAATTTTTGGTTTGAAGATACAATGACAATGGCCCCATTATTTCAAAAATTTCTAAATATATTACAGCTGTACTAAGAGTCTTAAATTTACATAAATTATCTATCAACGACTGCGCTTCTGATGAGATTTTTTCCTCAAATGATTTATTATCTATTATAAATCGAAGTGCACTTATCGTTATTGGAAGTAAGCTCTCTTTGCCATATATCCATTTAAGAGCTTTTTCAACTGCCCACCACCTTGTCTCGCCTATTTTTTGCAGCCTTCTCAGTTTATTTTGGCCAGTTGAGTTATTCTGTTTCACCCAAGCGTCCATCCTTTTATATGATTCACCAAAGAAAGTTGCTAGTCTGTTCAATAATCCAAATAAAATTTTGCCTTCAATATTATCGCATGAATCACATATACAGAGATTTAATATGCGACTATAACACCAAATATACAAGCTACCTAGAGCCTCTTGTCTAATAAGAGCTTGCAACCCAACAAATCCTCCCGCATATTTGCAGCACCATCAAATGATTCTCCAATTATATTTCTCATTTGAATTTCATGTTTTAAAAAGCATTCACTCAAGATATCAACAAATTCTTTTTCAGAAAGTTCGTAACTTTTGTAAGTGCAAAAAGCCTTTCTGTTATTTTACCATTATATATGTATCGTAGGCAAATGGTTGCTTGATCATAAACTCAAATGTCTTGAATACTATTCATTTGCAAACTAAACCGTTTGTTACCAATCTCCTTTTTTATTAAATTCCTGATTTGATCAAGAACAGCATCAATAACTTTGTTGACAGTTGTTTTTGACAACAAGGTTATGAGAGAACCTCTTCCTTCGATTTTGATTTGTTAGACAGTTTAAGCGTATCTTTTCTACGTTTGCTTTTTAAAATAGCCTTCACTAGATGATCTCTAAGTATTTGATTATTCTTTGATATAATACGGATCAATTCCAGGAAAATGCCATGATTTAAATTTTCATTATCAAAGAGGCTAAGTGTTTCGGTAGCATTTGATCCTCTGTATGGTAAGTTTTGTTTACCTAAAAACTTTATTATATCAAATATTGATTTTATTATGTGGATATTGTTATGAATTTGTCGATTTTTTTCATTTAATATTTTAACGCTAATTGAATTATTAAATGATTGGTTTTTTGAAGCTCTGAGGTAGGCCTCGACAGCACTAATATGCACTTTTGAATTTTCATTTATTTTAATAACTGAGTGCATGTGACGAAAATTTGTAGAGCCTGTTGTGAAAGTGTTTTCACATACTGCAAATGCCAGGCAGATTGAGCAGTACACAGCTTGGGCTTTATTGCGTATAATTTTTATGGTAATCCATTTTCTAGGTATTTTTTTCACTCATTACCATTCGATAATATAATTTATCATATTTAATGTTTATTGGTTGTTAGGATGTTGCATTAAAAATCTAAGTTCTTGATATATAGTGGCTGTTAATTGCAACTTAAAATTTTCATGTGTATGCACATCCAATTCTTATAATCCACTTTGAGAAATATCTGAAGGCATTATTGATGTAGTTGCTTCTGACAAGTGTGAGGATAGTGGCAATGATTGTGATGCCATAATACATGAAAATATTTTAAATAAGGTAGTTGTTTCAGGTAGTGGTGAATGGGAGGCAGTTGTTGATATCTCTAAAAAAATAGTTTATTTACACGGAGTAATAGTATTTGAAATACTTGGTATTGATTTATCAAAAAAAGATAATTTAAGTTGTTTTGGATCAGCACCAGCTGCTTTGAGACCAACAGCATTTTTTTTTCTTAATTTTTCAGCTCCACCTTTAAATTTCCTTTTGGCATTTCTATGCATATATGAAAATATATCAATTCAACTAAAATAAAATTTATTAAATTTTTTTTTAAAGAATTGTATTTTAATATAAAGCATAAAGTAATCTGTTATGTTACCGGCCAGTAATAATAAAAAAAAACATTACTATCTTTGGGGTATGAAATATAAATAAGTATTTTAAAAATATATCAATTCAACTAAAATAAAATTTATTATAATTTTTTTTAAAGAATTGTATTTTACTATAAAGCATAAAGTAATCTGTTATGTTACCAGCCAGTAATAATAATAAAAAAACATTACTATCTTTGGGTTATGAAATATAAATAAGTTTTTACTTTTGACTATTTACATACATCTCAATTTACGTGTAAAAATAGTATATAAAGTTGATTCTTTTCTTATATTATATTTGTTTGCTAATGATCAGTAAATTGTTGTAATACAAATATTAGGCGCACAAAAGTTTCCTCTCAATAAATTAATGTATAAAAATATAATATAATAAATTAATGAAAACTTAGCTTTCACTCTACTCAAGCCCAAGCTCAAAAGGATCAATGAATTAAGAACAAGATAGTTTCCTATATTACAATAAATTAATGTATAAAAATATAATATAAATTAATGAAAACTTAGCTTTCACTCTACTCAAGTCCAAGCTCAAAAGGATCAATGAATTAAGAACAAGATAGTTTCCTATATACAATAAATTAATGTATAAAAATATAATATAAATTAATCAAAACTTAGCTTTCACTCTACTCAAGCCCAAGCTCAAAAGGATCAATGAATTAAGAACAAGAAATACAATCAATCACAATAGTTTCCTATATACAATAAATTAATGTATAAAAATTAATATAATAAATTAATGAAAACTTAGCCTTCACTCTACTCAAGCCCAAGCTCAAAAGGATCAATTAATTAACAACAAGATAGTTTCCTATATACAATAAATAAATGTATAAAAATATAATATAAATTAATGAAAATTTAGCTTTCACTCTACTCAAGCCCAAGCTCAAAAGGATCAATGAATTAAGAACAAGAAATACAATCAATCACAATAGTTTCCTATATACAAAAAATTAATGTATAAAAATTAATATAATAAATTAATGAAAACTTAGCCTTCACTCTACTCAAGCCCAAGCTCAAAAGGATCAATTAATTAAGAACAAGATAGTTTCCTATATACAATAAATTAATGTATAAAAATATAATATATATTAATCAAAACTTAGCTTTAACTCTACTTAAGCCCAAGCTCAAAAGGATCAATGAAATACAATCAATCCTATATACAATAAATAATGTATAAAAATTAAATAAATAAATGAAAACTTAGTTTTCTCTCTACTCAAGCCCAAGCTCAAAAGGATCAATGAATTAAAGAAGAAATACAATCAATCACTATAGTTTCCTATATACAATAAATTAATGTATAAAAATTAATATAATAAATTAATCAAAACTTAGCTTTCACTCTACTCAAACTCAAACATAAGCGTTTTCACTTTGAAAAAAAACAAAAAGTACGTGGTAAATGATAAATAGCGTCAAGCGACGTAATTGATATTTTATGCATTCAAATATAGTAAACTACATGATAATTCTTCTCAGGGAATGTTATATTCAAATAATAGATATCATTAAAAAATAAATGATAAGAGAAAATAATGTGAACAAAATAATTTTTTTTTTCCTACCGGCCTCTTTTTTGATATTTTCCTCTCATCGGCCTCAAAATCGACATTTTCTCGCGGCCTCGTGGGCAAAATGCCCAGTGGGTCTTATGGCCAGTCCGCCCCTGATCATGAGAATGGGAAAAATATTTTATATGTTAGGCTTGAGTTTGAGTGTGGTAAAAATATTTTACAAGTACAAACATTATAAAACGTGGTGATCCTAATAAAATATAGAAGATTCTGCAGCTAAATTTGCAATGCAATAATTATGTGTCATTAATACAGTTTCTCACTAGTATTTCTGATTCTTATTCAAATCAAATCCAACTTAATTTTTTTATTAATAATCAACGATTTATAAATATTTTTAAAAAAATCAGCAGGTTATTATTAGAATTTGATTAATATATTCTTAATAATTAAGTTTATCACCCCTTTAAATCCAACCGAGTGCCAATATAAAATAAATTTACCCCACAATTTAAAAATATTTACCGTAATTATAGGTCATTTCTGTTGAGTTCCATATTCGACTACGTTACATGAAAGAGGATATTTTTATGATTGCTTGTCTTCTACATATTTTTATTTTATAATTAAGTTTTTGGATCAGTCATGATTTATCATTTAATATTCAGTATATATATTTTCATATCATCATAAAAAATGATAGACTCTCGCTTCAAAATATTATCATTGATGATTTTATATTTTATTTTTTTAACTTATAAAGATATATTTATGAAAAATTCAGAAAAGGTAACTATAGATAAAATTGAGGTTATTAAAATGGAATCTGGTTACAATACTATCAAATTTCAATACTGGTAATTTACATTTATTTATACACTAATTGATTATAGTTTCTCGTGAGGCTACAAGAAAACATATGAACAATATCGTCATTATATACATGAAAATTATCCATTTTTACACATAGAAGGTGAAACATATCCGCCATCAGATATTAATAAATTATTCATGCAAATTTTATCTTATGCTAAAATTATTATTATTATAATGTTGGTTTCCAATATTAATATCTTTGAAATATTTAACATAGCTATGCCTAATTTTTATACTTGGATGCTTAGCAATAAAGTTTATAATAAATTTAGATTGATATTGATTAATATTTCAGTCATATGCTTCATTGATGATATTTTTTATATCAAATGCAATTGAAAGTCAACTTTTATCCACAGGTGCATTTGAGATAAAACTGAATGGTAATTTATAGTTATATTTCTATATAAATTTTTTTTTAAGATGTACCTTTGTGGTCTAAAATTGAAAGTGGAAGAGTGCCTGCTATACAAGAATTATTCCAAATATTGGATAATCAGATGAGACTTATTAATCTTAAAAGACCTAATATACATTAATTTATTTAATAATTGTCAAACTTATGAAAATTTTTATTGAAACTGGTATTTTAACCAGAGATTTAAATTGGAAAAAATGACAATGTTTATGATGTTTTGTCTTCAACTAAATATAATGTAAATAATATTTAAATTTGATGGATATTATTAATATATTATATCATATATTTAAATGTCTTATAATGCTAAGTTCATACTGTTAAATCTATATCATTAAGGCCATACGATGGTGCCAATGAGGCCACAATTCTAAGGTAGAAACCTTTAGGTAATTTTTGGGGGTGGCAAAAAATTTTAATTTTTTTATAATATCAAAAATATATAAAATCAGGTTGAATTGCCCAAATTTAATAAAAATAACTTAATTTTTGTATTTTAAAATTAAGGAGCTTATTAACTATTATATTATGGGTGCAGGGCCACAGCCAACTATTTCTAATTAGGGGGAGGGGAAACTGGTTACTTAGGGGCGCAATATTTTTAAAAATAAAACAGATAGTTAGGGACTCAGAAATTATTTGTCATTTTTTAAAAATTTGTAAACCACGATTTTTAATTTTAAGATAGATGAACTAAAAGCTAAATTCTATATTATTTTTTTTCCATAAGCCATTAATACTAAATTGTTTATATCGGTCTTTCATTGATTCTCTAGTACTCGATACAACTCTCTAGTGTAGAGAATGAGGCCTCACAAGAAACTGTGAATACCCCAATGATGATGGCTACTGAGCAGGGATGTGAACCCACACCCTGAACCCTCCTAGACCCTCGTATTTTGGCTGAACCCGGACCCTTTTTAAAAGTGGAGGGTCCAAGGGTTCTAGGTGTCATAAAAAATTTTAAAAATAAAAATATTTTTTTATAAAATAATCCTTTTTAAAAGTGAAGGGCCCAAGGGTTCTTGTCATAAAAATTTTTAAAAATAAAAATATTTTTTTAAAAAATAATAAAAAAATTTTAAAATTTTATTAACTTTTTTTGTGGAATCATTTATTTTATCTCCGCGTTTTTCTTTCAATTTTCCTGGACTTCCATTTTATTTAGAGATTGATATCATAATTTTCCAGTGTAATAATATTTTATTATGTAATATTTAATAATGTAAATTTATTAATATGCTGTTATAGAAATACGTTGATTATTTTGAAAGTGTATTATTTTGTAGTACATACAAGTAATAATAAATTGATTTGTAATGATAATGCACAACACGTTGGTCCTCAATTTGTATGATGCTAGAACGATTAAGTTTGAAAGATTTCTGTAATGATTTTATTATAGGAGCATGTGAAGTCATTTTGTCGGAAGATGATTGGTGCCAAATAAAGGACCTTACTAGTGCATTAGTTCCTTTAAAAATAACAATATTAGGATTACAATCAGAACAATTATATTTATTTAATTTTAAGGCATATGGATTAGATGCCAATTAGATTTTGAAAAATTTACAGTCCTTTTTATACGAAATATTAGATAACATGAAATTCGAGAGCAACAATATTTGCAAAATAGTGTTGTATAGTCATTTAGATCCTCGATATCAAGTTTTATTGAGTTTAGCAAAAACAAATGGCTAAAGACCATCTTAAGGATTTATGGCATAAGCAAAACACCTTTATTTACAATATATTGAAGGCTATGACAATACTATTGGTTGTAGTGATAATAATAATGATAGCAACATTGATGATCTTGAAATTTTACTTTTAGATAGAGAAAAAAAAATCAAATTATCATCAGATAGAAAGGAGGATCAAAAAAATGCCTATTGCATCTTGAATAGTAAAGTTAAGAGAATAAATAAGGATATAAATGTTTTAAAATTCTGGGAAGAAAATTCTTCAATATATCCAGAATTATATATTATCTAGAATCTTCATGGCTGTACCGGCGACACAAGTACAATAATTTTATAGATAACTATCTATTTTAGGTAAGGGTAGAACGTAAATTTTCATCTTTATATATTGTCTACTTTACGTGGAAATCTCAAGGATGATATTTTAGAAACATTTAAAATATAAAATTTCATTTGTAAATTATGAATATGTATAGAAGTATAATAATAAATGAATAAAAAAAAAATCTTATATTGATCATTATTTTTATATTCCCTGAACCCGAACCCTGGACCCGGGTCCTTTCAAATTTTATTCCTGTACCCGGACCTGGACCCTTTTTTTTTGTCGAAGGGTTCACATCCCTGCTACTGAGTAGCATTTATACAATTCTTTAACTGCAAGATGACATATTATTATTATATATAATATTTACTATATTTTTAAAATTATTAACATTAACATAACTACTTTTTATTGTTTATAAGTTAACAATTTTATTTGGGGAATCTTTTTCAAGAATTTATTTTCCAGGAATTTGTTTTATTTTGTTTTCTCAAAATTTTTTAATATTTTATTTGGATTATTTTATTTCGGGGATATATTTATAGGGAATTTTTCTCCTATTTTATTCATTTTCATAAAAAATTTATATTTTTTCGGTATTTAAAAAGGCAGGAAATATTTTTCCAGGGAATTAGTTTCTTAAGAATTATTTTTCGGAAAATTTCTTTCTGGAGAATTTTTTTACGGAGAATAATTATCCAGGGAATTTTTCCCCTAAATTATTATTTTCCAAGATTTTTTCTCTGGGGAATAATTTTCCAATATTTACTAAAAAAAAATTTATCAGCTTTAAATAATTTCTTTTGTTTAGATGTACTCAGTATTATTATATATAATTTAATAATCTATTATTAAGAAGGTAGGTTTGTAGCTCATATTTTTATCCTATTTACTTTATCATCATAGCATATATAATATCAATATCTATTTTTCTAAAATTAAAATACTACAATACAACAGTGACAAAGCGTCCATTGAAGGAAGGGACTCATCTTCTCTTGTAATTTCTTAAAAAATTCTTAAACAAATATATATAATCTTGATAAGACTCTAAAAAAAATTAATACAATATTACTACGCTAAAAAAAATTGACACTATTTTTAGTACGTTATTATTTTACGTTAAAAAAATTATATTATTTTTACTAAGTTTTACAAATATTGGGAGATTATAGTCTACACCTATTAGCAAGGGAAAAATGCTTTCTTTATTCTTACTCATACGCCATTCCATCACGAAGATGTTGATAATGAGTAAAAATATACATTCGTCAGCATCAAGCTTATTTCAATTTCTAAAAAAAATTGACGATTCTTAATTATGATTGCTATCATTTTGATAAGATAGTCAAGTTTATAATATTGTATAGAATTTAAGAAAATTAAAGATTCTATAAGGATTAGATAAAAACATTAAGTGTCAACTTGATAAGTAATATAAAAAATAATAAACAAATGAGAGAAAATGTAATTATGCTATAAACCAAAATGAGTGTTACAATATTTAATTTATATTGAATATCACAACTTTCTCAAGTATAATTTTATTAGGCTATATATGTACCAATTTATTTATTTTTTAAAATCTTCACACCTTTTTATATTTATAAATTTGCAAATTTTCTTTAATTACTTGGAAACTGAAGACAACATCTTTTATTGTTTAATATTTAAAATGTTTTAAAATAAAATTGACTGATTTTGGATTATCACCTAAAGTTTTTTTTATATATTAACAAAAGAATTATAAATTAGGCTTAAACTGTATAATCATTAGTATAGAATTAGGTAAAATATGGTTAGAAAAATTTGAGATGTCGTAATTTTTTTAGGGATCAGAACTATCCGGTATCATCGCGGGTTTTAAAGGGATAAATAAATAAAGAAGAATAAAATATTGGTAGCCTGTATGGCGAGGAATTGCTTTGCAGAATGGGTATTAGTAGTAGGGATTTAGCTCAATTTAAATATAAGGATTTAATTTATTAAACTAAGATTTCCTTATTCTATAAATTAAGTATAAAAATAAAATCTGTTACTATCCAAAAAAAAAATTCTTATGAGCTTTATATATAATAAAAAATTAATATCTTTTTTTATAAAATGTAAATCAATTACGGTTATAAAACATAGCTGCAAACTCATATTAACAATTTAAAAGTAATATAAATTGATTCTTTAAATACAATAATAAAAAGAAAAGTTAATATAGTACATAATTTGTTACTAATATGTAACACCTAAAAATTATTTTAAGTTAAGGAATGATAATAAGGTATTATCACGTTTTAATCGTGATAAAAGTAATCTAATTTTTAAATGCGTTTTACGAGCGTTTAGTTTTATTTCTTTTTTATTTTATTGTTATTTATTAATTTTCAATGTTGTTTTTTGGCCTTATGAAATAAGATATATCTAATATAGAGTATCAATCGATAGCTAATAAAAAGATCTATTCAACTAGAGTCAATCTCTCCCCCTTAGTGGGCGAGTCTTGGTCTGAGTGGTCAGGAATATTTTTATCAAAAAAATATCGATATGCATCAATAGCTAATTTTAATATCTTTTGACTGAAAATCTTCATTCTTGGTCTTGATGGTTATGACTTGGTCTGGGGGAGCGGGGGGGGGGGGGTGGACCGAGGGGAGGAGGCAATTTTTTGATATGTGTATAAAATAATAGGTAATTAAAATATTTTTTGATTGTAATAATAATAATCACTATAGGCGGGTGGGTCTAGGTATTGGGGAGGTCGGGAATATTTTTATCAACACAATATCGATTAGGGTATCAAATAAAATCTAATTTAAATATCATTTGTCTGAAAGCATTGGTCTTGATGGATATGATTTGGTTTGGGAAGTGGATGGAAAGGGGGGGGGGCGAAAAATAATTTTTTTGATATGGGTATTAAATAAAGGTAATTAAAATATTTTTTGATTGTAATAATAATAATCACTATAGGCGGGTGGGTCTAGGTATTGGGGAGGTCGGGAATATTTTTATCAACACAATATCGATTAGGGTATCAAATAAAATCTAATTTAAATATCATTTGTCTGAAAGCATTGGTCTTGATGGATATGATTTGGTTTGGGAAGTGGATGGAAAGGGGGGGGGGCAAAAATAATTTTTTTGATATGGGTATTAAATATAGGTAATTAAAATATTTTTTGATTGTAATAATAATAATCACTATAGGCGGGTGGGTCTAGGTATTGGGGAGGTCGGGAATATTTTTATCAACACAATATCGATTAGGGTATCAAATAAAATCTAATTTAAATATCATTTGTCTGAAAGCATTGGTCTTGATAGATATGATTTGGTTTGGGAAGTGGATGGAAGGGGGGGGGGGCAAAAAATAATTTTTTTGATATGGGTAACAAATAAAGGTAATTAAAATATTTTTTTATTGT